GGAGAGCAGGAGGTGGAACAAGGTGGGCCATGGAGGGGCTTTGCACAGGCACTTCCCCTGTAAGTCTGGGCTCTTGGCACTGCTGCCAAGGCGAGAGCAGCCAAACAGATGGATGGGATTTGTTACAGCCGGGATCAGAAGCCCTTGCAGCTCAGAGGAGCAAACCTTCCCTCTCCACGTCTTCCTGTCCTCCCAGCCAGTCCTGTCTGCATTGGTTTAGGAGAAAGGGAAGCAGAAATAGCAGGATGGGGAGAGGCTGATCTTTAGAATCAGTGAATGTTAGAGGCACAACAAAAAGGGCTGGTGGATCAGTGGAGGTCTCAGCTGGACAAAGAAGGCACCTTCAGATGGGCCTTTTAGGAGAACGTCAATGAAGCAATTATTTATAGGGGCATAGGCAGAGTGAAGAGAATCAACATGGGGGTATTGAAGAACCAGGGACAAGAAATATCAGGAAGCCACTACTGACTCTTAGAACCGAAGGGGCAGGGAGAGGAAATGGTTTTCCTGGAGGCTTTGAGGACTGGATCTGTGGACAGGGACCCCTGGCAGAAGAAGCTGTGATTGTCAAGGGTTCCAGACTCTGAGGAATCAGGCGCAGAGACAGGAAAGGAGCAAGGGAAGACCTATGTCCAAATCCTCTCCTCCTGTATCCTACCAGAGCATCCCAATGGGCAAAGCCAACTGGTAGCCACGTAACAAGGAGCAGGGATGTAGTCCATAGAAGGTCTGCCTCCAGGACATAGAGTGGGGTGGAATGAGCCTGGGGTGGGACTGGATCATGGGGAGCAAATGGAGAACAGCCTGTACAGATCAGGAATGAACATGTGTTCCATTGCCTACACTGTGCCGGAAGCTCGTGTTCTTAACCACCACATGCCATGCTTCTGTACCTCTTCCAAGGAGCGCATGTGCAGAGACTCCAGGAGTCTAGCTCTCTCTTGTGAGTGTGAGACCCACCTAACCTGCCGTCTACTCGACACCTCTCCTTAGATGTCCAGAAGACACCAGGTATTCATATCTCAGACCCAACTCATGTTTTCAGTCCTCTAGAATGTGTTCTCTTCCAGAGCTCCCTTTCTTGAGAGGCGCCTTCATGACGCCTCTGTGGAAGCCAGGCCAGGAGTCATCTTCCATACCTGCCACTCTCCCTCATCCGCACTTTCCAGTCAGCCACCACCTCCTGAGGGAGTTGTGCCTGCAAGATAACTCTCAGATGTGCCCACTTCTCTGTCTGCACTGTTTTTGTCTCTGCTCTTTCTGCTCCGCTGTCTACTTCTCTATCTCTGCCTCTGCTTCCCTATCTAGGGATCATCATCTCGTATGTGGACTTCTGCACAAATGCCCCATCCTCCTGGCTGGTCTTCTTACTTCTATTTCTGTCCATCTCCAGTGAATTCTGCTGTCTGCTGCTGGAATGATCTTCCCTACATGAAAATCTGATCAAGCCTCTCTTCTGTCTAAAATTGTCAGCGTGTTCTGTCCTTAATAAGGCCCAGAACGGTTGGGGTTGGGGTTGGGGTTGGGGTTACGACTTCCTACCTCTCCAGCATGATCTCATGCCACTTGCTTTCAGTGTTTCGGTCCCAGTGAGTGGTGGTGCAGCTCCTTCCATATTCCTTCTCCTCAAAGGGTTCTTTGTTTGAATTCTTCCCCTCCTCTCCTGTTCTCTTCGCCTCGCCCCTCCCCCGCCACTACCTCATCACCTGATTAACTCCTACTTTTTTCAGCCCTTAGTCCCACTACCTACTCCTTGAAGCAAATTTCCATGATTTTCCTAAACTAGGTCATATTCCACTAAGAGAGCCTCTGGATCCTCTTTCTCCTCTCCTTTGTGGTATACGTCACTTAAAGTTTTTTTTTTTTTTAAAGATTTTATTTATTTATTTGACAGAGAGAGACATAGCGAGAGAGGGAACACAAGCAGAGGGAGTAGGAGAGGGAGAAGCAGGCTTCCCCGCGGAGCAGGGAGCCCGATGTGGGGCTCGATCCCAGCGTCCTGGGATCACGACCTGAGCCGAAGGCAGACGCTTAACGACTGAGCCACCCAGGCGCCCTGTACGTCACTTAAAGTTTTTTACATGTGTATGTATATCATTTCATTAATCTTGGTCCATCCTGTCTATATGGTGAGCACTTTGCGGGGGGGTTGTTTGTCTTTTCTGTTATGGACCGCATGATATATATTGAAACCTTAACCTCAGTATGACTGTGTTTGTCTACTTGGGCTGACATAACAAAATAGCGTAGATAGGGTGGCTTAAACAACAGACATTTATTTTCTCACAGTTCTGGAGGCTAGGAGGCCAAGACCAGGACACCAGACAGTTGGGGTCTGGTTTGCAAGATGGCTGCCTTCTCACTGTGTACTCACGTGGCCTTTCTGAGCATATACATGTACGTGGGGAAAGCAAGAGGAGAGAGAGAGAGAGAGATTTCTTCCTCTTCTTATAAAGACACTGATCCTATTGGATGAGGACCTCACCTTTATGGCCTCATTTAACTTTAATTACCTACTAAAAGCCCTATCTCCAAATATAGTCACATTGGGGGTTAGGGCTTCAACACAAGAAATTTGGAGGGACACAGGTCAATCCACAGCAGACTGTATCTGGAGATAGTATCTTTAAGAGGGAATTAAAATTAAATAAGATCATGAAGGTGGGGCCCGAATCAGATAGGACTGGGTGTCAGAAAAAGAGGAAGATCTCTCTCTTTCCCTCTCTCTTTATCTCTGTCTCTGCCTCCCTGCCTCGGGTTCTCTCTCCCTACTATGTGAGCTCACGATGAGCTGCCTGTCTGTAAGCCAAGGAGAGAGACCTCACTAGAACCCAACCATCCTGGCATCCTGATCTCAAAACTTCCAGCCTTTAGAGCTGTGAGAACATAAATATTTGTTAAATCACCCAATCTATGAGTTTTGTTTCGGTGGCCCAAGCTAAGACAATACCTCCTGTACTTGTCACAGATACATTACGGTTTTTTTGAAAACACTGTTGAATGGATGCATGAACGAACAGGAAGATGAATGAAGGCATGAATGTTGGCAACCTATATGGGCCCCTCCCTTGGAGGATTTCGGATTATGGCTTGCTCTAAACTTTTGACCACAGTATAGTCCAACTCTTACAGTTTGGGGCCAATCATGCTCATCTCTAGGTTTAAACCATCAGGACTGGGTGTGGAAGTGCTTCTCAGGATTGGATGGTAGCCTCTTGCTGGAGGGCTGTGCATGGTAGGCTTGGAGTAGGTGTCCCATGTTTGGGTTGTTCTTCTCAGTTCACCTTTAAGTAGACCTAATGGAGATATCTAGGAAGACAGCAAGACAGGCAGGTGAGGAAGTTATAATGCCACCACGTGGTCCATTTGTATTGTCAATTGCCTTTTCCTGAGCAAGCATAGATTTCCCCTATGTCCTCAAAGACAGAGCTTCTCACAGAGCCCAGTGCCCAAACCAGCTGCCTGGGTATGAGCTATGCCCCAGATGCATCTGTCTAAGCCAAAAAGCTTACCCGGGAAAACAGGAGCTCCTTAGAAATTGGTGTGGGGATGTTCAGAAGCCTTCTTGTCCAGTCTGGTGAAATCCCTTCAAAGAAACAGGAATCTTTTGCACATACCATCTCCTGGCCTTAGACAGCGGGTAGCTCAAAACTGAAGAAGCGTCCTTGCCTCTAGAGACATAGATGGGGGGAGGGCTGAGCTTGAAGATTTCAAAGTTGGGACTCTCTTTGGGAATTTCTCAGAACAAAGGCAGCGAGGCCATTTAGACAGTTTCCTTAGCTTCCTTCCCATTTCCTCTCCTTGCCTTTTATGTTGCCCCTCTCCTTCCTTCTTGAGCTTTTCTGCTTTTTTTTTTTTTTCTCTTTTATCTTCCACCTTTTTCTCTCTGCCCTTCTAACCTCACTCTTAGCATTCTCTGGAACTTTCTACCAGTCTCAATTTTGAAACTTTATAAGAATGAGGCTACTAACAAATCCATCGAGGGTATTGATAAAAATGGAGCATTGGAGCCAGAGTTAGAAGGCTTGACAAGAGAGATCTTGTCTCTCTGCTGTCTCACCTAAATCTGTATGTTCCACTCCCAGGTGCTCAGTTTCCCTTCAGTAATGTTGGACTATTGTACCCAGTGGTTTCCATGTCACAATACTCCTCAAATGTTTGACTGACAGACTGCTATCTTCCTTCACTGCCACTGTTCTGGTTTAGGCCACCGTGGCCTCTGGCTGGCTACTGCAATAGCCTCTGCGTTGGATTCTCCACACTCTCCTTAGGAATTGTTGTCAGAGGGACTTATTTTGAACATGCCAGTCTTCTGTGAATTTTCAGTGAACAGCTTTCACCATTAGCATGCATTCCAGACTCCTCGATGCGATTGACAGTGATCTACCTCTCTGGCCCGGCCTTGTCTTCACATGCTCCCTTGGAGCCACACTGAACTCCTGTCAGTTGCTTAAGCATCATGCTCTTTCTGGCTTCGGATCTTTGTACATGGTTCTCCTCCTACTCAGGCAATCTTTCTTATCCCAAATCTCTTTAGTAACCGTACCCTGATTCTACTCTCTTTGCTAATTCCTATTCATCCTTAAGGTGTCTGTATAAATAGTGCCTCCTCCAGGAAGCCTGCCTTGACTCCCCGGATGGGTGAAAGGACCCTTCTCGGTGCTACTCTGGTACTCTGTACTCTCCTTTCACCAAAGTATTGTGGTGTTGGGAATGCCTGGGTATGTGTCCTTCCAAGCTATGAACCCCTTGAATCATGGATTGTGTCTGACTTTTCACCACCCTATCTCACGGGCTTGGGGCACTGCCTGGAACATAGTGTGTGTTGAATGCATAAGTGAGGAAGCCAACACATACTGGTACCTGTGGCTTCCATGAGGACCCATGGTATCCTCATGGGTCAGGGAGGGAGCTCTAGGGACTCAGGGTGGCCAGGCCCAGTCCTCCAGGGGCTGGGGGTGGGCCGAGCCCTAACCTCAGCCCCATTGCCCACCCTGTAGCAGCAGCTGAGGCGACGCAGGAGACAGTGGAGTCCCTGATGCAGAAGTTCAAGGAGAGTTTCCGCGCTAACACGCCCATCGAGATCGGTCAGCTGCAGCCAGCCCCGCGCAGGGCCTCGGCAGGGAAGCGGAAGCGGAGGAGCAAGTCTCGAGGTAGGCCCTCCCAGCACCACTTGCCAGGGTGTCAGCGGGCTGTCCCCAGGTTCTGAAGGTACCGGCAAGAGCTGTGCCCCCTTCCCTTGCTGCCCTGTATTCCCAGAATCATGCCGCAGTGTCCCCGATCGGTCATCTCAGCTGAGGCTTGTAGACGGCATACCTGTGCCCCTGGGTGTGGAGTGTCTCTGAGCCCCAGCTGCCTCATCTGAGGCGGGAATGGACCATCTGTCTTTCGGAGTGGCTGAGAAGACTGGCAACAATCTATGGAAAATGCCTCACAGGGGCCCCAAACACAGTAGATGCCCTTTACGTCGTAGCTGGTGGCACTTTGGAGAGTGCAGGAGAGGTGGACGTTCTCATGGAAGGCGTCCCCAAGCTGGAATACCAGAACAGGTTTTGGAGTTGCTCTTCGATAGCCTGAGTCGTATCGCTGTCAAGAGTAGAAGCACTGTCAATGAGACAGAACCGGATTCAAATGTTGGTTCTACTCTTAACTAATCATGTCACCTTGGGCAGGTTGCTCTGCTTCTCCATGCCACTCCTCTCTCATAGGATTGTTATGATATCTTAGCACAGTGCCCCACCCAGCATGCAATAAAAAGTAGATCTTTCCTTCCTTCTCCTTCTCTTCCTCCTCTTCCCATTCTCTCCTCCTCCTCCTCCTCCTTATCATCATCACCATCATCACCTCTTTCTTCCTCTGGTCATCTGTATGACTTTGTCAATGGGATGAACCCCCTTATCATTGCTTGGCATCCCAATCCCTTCCCTTTTCTTTACATTCACTCAGTAGCCTACAGCTCTTCTCTTCTTCTGGCCTCTCATGTCTCTAGTTCCTATGAACATAGTTCTAATGACATCACTCCTCTTCTTCCAGAGCTTTAGTGGCTGTCCAGTGCCTTCAGAAGTGTCTGGGCTTGTGGAAAGGACATCCAAGACCATTGCAGAGCTCTCGTCTCTCTTCTGTCTCATCTAAATCTGTATATTCCACTTCTGTGTTCCTTTCCATGCCATTCTCCCTGCCTTAAATGACCTCTCTAACCCTATGAGAAATTGTCATTTATAGACACTTACTCCAGGTAGCAGGCTAAATACTATATACCTCTTTTTTATATTTGATTCTCAGAAACCCTATGTAGGAGGTACAGTGGTAATTCCCATTTTACAGATGATATCACAAGGCACAGGAAGCTGCAGTAACTTGCCCAAAGGGACGCCCAGGTAAGTAGGAGAGCCAGGAAGAACTAAACCGGCTGAGTTCCAAACATTAACTAAACCACTGTGTTCTAAGCTAGTGAGGTCCTACCTGTGTTCCCCAGCTTTATCCTGTGAAATCCCAAACCCTGTGATACACCAAGGGTCTGCACATTAAACTGAGGTCATATATCAAGGCAGAAGTTGGTGGTGGAGTTGGTTTTTGAAATTCACATAGTAAACCCCAGGTTGAACTGATACATAATGATGCTTAAGTTTCTTTGAAGTCAGCAGCATGCAGTGCTACTCCCAGCCCAGTCAACTTCAACTTGTGTGGCTTTCAAAGAGTCCCTGGATGTCTCTGAGGCTCAGTCTCCTCTTCTGTACAATGGGTTGTCAATCCCTACCCCAGATCGTTGCTGTGAAGATCGGATGAAGTGGTGAAGGTAGACAGCATGAAATGCTCAGCTAATGTGTGTCAGGAGCTGAATAAATATTGTCATGTATTTGTCCTATCTTATTTTTGTTCAGGGTCATTTGTAGTTTCATTCAGCCTTACCTATCCATCTTTTGTCTTCCATCGTTCACCAAGAATTCCCCTCCTAGATCCTCCCTGCAAATACAGCCCCCGTGAGTACAAGTGATTCCCGGTCCATAACCTCCCCTCTGTTCTCACTGCCAGTCTGAATTCATTTCCTTAGTGTCCTATCCAAAACATATGCTATACCACTGAATTCTTCCCCCGCCAAATCCCTCTTTTGCACCATAACTGTCTTAATGAAGACTCTACTCTTGGGCATTTGGGCTGTTTCTGATAATTCACCATTAAACAGTGCCATAAACGATGCCACATGGAACTTTTTTTGGTTGGGGCGGGGACATCAAACTTGTCCATCAAACTTGGCCTTCACTCTTCAGGCAGAATTTCAGAATTTGCTTGTTAATGAAAATCTGTTTGACTTAGATGATGATTGGATATCGAGTTATTTTGATTTACAAGTCAAATTGGGCCTAAGAGAATTAATGGGAGAAGAAATGCATTTTCCCCCTAAATGTATCTTGAATCTGTCCCCCCCTTTCTTCATCACCATTATGACCGTTGCCACCTTTCAACTCCCGCTTGCAACTATGCCCTCCTTGAGATTCTGTCTCCCCAAAGTAGCCAGAGGAATCTTTTTAGAAACATAAACCAGATAAGGTCCCTTTCTGATTAAAATCATTCAGTGGTTTTCCTGTTGTCCTTAGATTACAACCCAAACTACTTGCCAATCTCCTGTTCCACCTGGATCTGACTTCTGCTCTCTTGACTCACTTGGCATTTCCTTGTGATCCAGCCACACTGCCTTCCTTCAGATTGCAGGAACCCAGCACATGGTTCCCCACTTTCGAATCTGACAACTTGCTGTCTCCCCCTTGCTGTGTTTCTTTACACCCTCCCCCCCACCCTGGCTGCTTTCCTGGCTATTCTCCCACCGTTCAGCTCTCATCGCAGATATGAGCTCCTCCAGACTGTCTTCCATGACCACCCAGCCTAATGCTTTCTACCCCAAGACGTGCTATATAACCCTTTTTTCACTTGTTCCATAATAATGTGGTCTAAAATTATTTTTCCTTGCTTACTATCTTCCTCTCAAAAAATGTGTTTCATATTCATAAACCTAATACATAGAATGTGCAGAACGTGTTTAATAAATATTTGTGGAATAAATGAGTGTATTAACCTCAAAGATCATTCGAAAGTGGCTCAGTTTTATAACTTCTGAATTGGTGATGTAGGAGGGATCCAAGATAAACCAAAGTCTCTTGGTACAGACCTCCAGGGAATCTTGTTTCCCCTAGAGATAGACTCACTGATGGATAGCACATTAACTGTGCTCAAGTGGATGCTGTTAAGGCAATTTTCAAAATGGCTTAATAACATTGTGCTCGTGATTTTACTGCCACCATTGGATAAGGTTTTTTGCAAGAGAGACTAAGGATAGCGTGTGCCAGCCCCGCAGTTCCCAGCTCACATGCTTACCGCCATGGGTCAAGATTTTCTTGGACTGAAGAACTCCATGGCCCATAAAAGTCATGGAAATTCTGCATTCTCCTTCTGCCTCTTGGAAATTGCCGAATGCATCTTCGACTCTTGAAGATCCTAGGAAGTCCTGTAGAACAGAAAGCTGGGCTTCTTTGTTTACCTCCACATCTGTGCAAACGTCTTGACCACAGACTCTGTCCGACCCCACCCCCCACCCCCCCCAGCCGGAACATTTATTCTCATCTCAAGGAACAGAGACGATCCTAGACACGCGATGTTGGAAGTGCTCCGTCTGCCCACACTGACCCTCGGAAGCCCCAGATACGGTCCGATGGGTCTGGATTCTCAGTCTGTCACTGCCCGGCTCCTCTCCCTGCCGCAGAGGCAGTGTTGGGCCTTCTGGCCCAGAGTGGGAGCACCTGGCCTCTGTCTGCTTCTGTGGGCTTTGTGCCCAGGCCGTGGGGCTCAGTGGTTTGCAGCAGATGTAGTGGGCAGTGGAGAACCAGGGTCGTGGAGTGAAGCACATGGTTAAAAGCAGCTCGGATGTGTGTCTGTGGCTCTGGCTTCCTCCTGAGTGGCCTCGTGGACGCTCAAGTGCATCATCCTTAGGTGGACAGAGGAAGGCAGTGGGGGACTCCAACAGAGTTTTATGAGGCAGCTGTTGGGCAGGCACTCCCCAGCGTCCACAGGCAGTGAACAGTGAATGTGTTGGAGCTAAACTAAAGCCGGGGAAGATTGCTTGTGATATGAGGAAGAGCATCCCGAGGTTGATGAAGTTTAGCTAGTGGGTTAAAAGTGGGGCTTTTCTATTTGAAATTGAACTAACCACCATGGGCTAACTGAACGAGCTTAAGCAAATGAAGAAGCTGTGTTAGCCTCAGTCTTCCCATCTGTAAAATGGCATTAATAATACCAACGTCATATATGGGTTGTGGGATAATACCTACAAAATGTGTAGCCCAGGGCCTGGCACTTGGGCGACTGACTCAATAATGAGTAGCTGATGTTATCACTGTCATCAGGGTTCTGCTCCTGTGGCCCACAGAGGCTCCCAGCTCCCAGCTCTGCCCCATGCTCTCTGGGCCACTGCCTCTGACCTGGCTGAGGTTCTATTATTCCTCATCCAGAGTCCTGCAACAGCCCCTTCATCCACAAATCCATCTTCTACCCTGAGGGCTGGAGCAATCCTTTGCAAACACACTACATCGGGCCATGTCACTCTCCTGCCTACATTTCCCTGATCCTCTGTCACTTGCCTTGGGGGCATCTCAAGCTTTTGTGGGGAAGTCTTCCTAAAGACATGTGAGAATCAACACACTCCCAAAGGGTCTAGAGCTGTATTTGAAAGACATCGGTCATAAACCCCAAATTCCAGGTTCCCCCTAAAAAAAATCCATGACATTCTATTTCATAACATGCATATACTTGTTTTAGTTTAAATCATGCTACCTCATTTTTTTGGTTAAATTATTTATCATTTTCTCAAGTCTTTAGGCAATATCGATGTCCCAGGAAGAAGAACCAAGCTTATGGTATACCGTCTTCAAAGGGTTTCTATAGGAGCAAATGAGACAATGCTTGTAAAACAGGGAGCACAGAGCCCAGCAAAAGGTGCACATTGAATATGTGTGTTCCATTGTTTTATTTTTATCACTACTGTTTTATTATACTTTTACTTATATCAGTATCATTACCCATTTGGGGTACACTTACTCCATTTTATTTTATTTATTTATTTATTTTTAAAGATTTTATTTATTTATTTGAGACAGAATGAGAGACAGAGAGCATGAGAGGGAGGAGGGTCAGAGGGAGAAGCAGACTCCC